AAAAAAATAAATAAATAAATAAAAGTAAAACTGCATCTGTGATTCGTCACAAAGAAAACGCTTACCCTCACGTAGCCAATCACGCCTCGGTTTCCCTAGTACCTATGAACAAACTCGTCGTTTAGATCAGGTAAGCAAAATGCGTCCCGACAGTTGTATCAGAGTGATTAAGCGGCAATCTTAAGTTTTTTGAATGGAATGATCGTTACTCATGAATGCAACTCAATTTGCTTCTCATTTGAGACCAGAAAGAAGCACTAGTTATATTCAGACTAAAGGTCAGCGAATTGAGGTTTCCGGTACCTAAATCGCTTCTTCACATACAGCGTTCAAAACAAAATTCCTGTTCCAAAGATGAAACACGCAGTCTGAGTGATGATTAGCCTTTACATTCCGCGTAGTACACAATTTGGTGATAGCAGGGAACCATTTTAGGTTGGACAGATTGGTCTTAAGCCGAAAAAAAACAGTGCCGGCCGTTCGTGTTGTTTCAGGCGTATCGTGATAGTTTCTTTCTGAAAGCCCGAACCTTGTACACCAGTCCACCATCGATTCCGTATTTTCGTCTGGATCGCGCGAACAGAGTTGAACTTTCGAGGGCGATCACATGCTCATCAACTTCACAGTATCAACTGCCAACTGGAGGGCTCATCATCCTCATGAACTTACATTAATTGATAATATTACACTTGAAGCCACACACTTTTCCGCTATGAAGGCTTGGTATTCCCTTCGGCAGTGCTGACGCGCAATATCGTCGATACATACAAGAAGTTCCTCCAACTGAGGTCTCTCCCATGCACTATAACATCACGTTGACGCAGTGCAGAGCGTCGTGATGTCGCGCTTAGAATTTTGTGCATGTTTCAGGGAGAACCGATAGGAGAGCGACCAGTTAATGTGCTGGTGGGTCATGGAGTTGACTGCTGTGCTAGTGTTTGGGGTCCAATCATGACAGCTACAGCGCTGCATCGTGAATTTCCACTTTGAGTTCGTCAGTCGTCTCGTACTTGAGTTTTGAGAGACTGTTCTCTGAATGGGCCCAAAATGACGACACCTCAGCATTCTTCTGGATGTAGAGATCAGGCTCCAAATCATTTCCATGGGCTTTCCTGGTAGGCTGATTAATCTAATCATTTCCGCCACGCCAACACACCAAAACTTCACCAATGTAAAAACATTTGAGTATACTTAAGGATGTCAACTGATGTGAGTACCGTCGTGAAATACTGGCCATCACTGACTTTCGAGCTGCAGTTCCGAAAACGAATTCGCTACAGAATACCCCGAGCCAGCACATGTTGGTGTCCAAAGCGGTAAGAAAAAGAAGTGTTTAGAGCCAAGTTCCTCCTGATCACCACGAAATCAAAGAATTACCATCGTTGATCAAGAGTACATTGAGACCGCCTCTACAGCGAGCATTGGCGAATCAATCTGCCAATAGGACAGCTAGCCCTACAATCGACTTTCGTACTCTCGAGTAACTTGCCAACTCGCTGTACACATGTTGTTGGGAAACGTTGCCGTAATTTGTATGAGCTTGACGACGCGATCAAATCCATTGAAGGCAGCGAACCAAGTTGAAGCACCATATTAGTGTGTTGTTAGGAGCCCGAGTTCAATCCTGAGCGCCACTTGAGACCTTGTGCAGCTTATACTACAATACGCAATCGACGAAAATGGCGTCGAAGGACTGTCTGGCTTGAATTTCTTGGCTGTCCTTCTTGTCATGCCACTGGCGCTGCGCTCGACTTGGGGTTTTGCAAGACTGCCTCCCGATCACTTGACCGCCACATTTACCAGGCGTAGACTATCTCGAGGACGTCCATCCAAGTTTGAAGATAATCCATCGATACTTGAGACGGCAAATTGCTTCCAAGTAAAAATTATCCAACGCACCGTTGGACTATCGAGGAGCTCGGAGTTATTTGGCTAAGGTAAAACGCGGCAAAGGTTAGTTGGCAACTGCTCGCATGTAATGGTTTTGGACCGTCGTGCACAGTCGTTCTTGGGAGCATGTCGCGCATGAGTGATCTCTCCCGCGACACGCCACCTAAAATATGTGCATAATATTTAACTTAGTCACTAGATGTAAGAGCTGAGGAAGGGAAATGTTTTGTACAGGCAGCTGCAACTGCTCAAAAATGAGCTTCAAAGAATTTCTATTTGAAGTTGGATCTTTAGTGAAATGGTGACAATAGGATGTGGCTTGTGAAGATAGGTTTATCTTATCGCGGTGGAGGGCGACGCAGGAAGCACAGCGCGAAAAGTACTGTAGCAGGAGGAGGGCCGTGGCGACGCACGAACGTCAAGATACTCTTCAGCTTTCGACCGCTCTAATCCCGGGGCTTTTATGTTTCTTTGTGAAATGGTACCTTATGAATGAAATTTTGCGATTGAACCTGTCACGTGTATTAGTATTAACGATCGGCAGTACACGTCTTCGGCTTGTGTTTGTCAGTTCTGATTCATAATGAGTGAGTTACCAACGCTAATAAAGTATGTCTAATTTAACATGCCATATCCTATATCGCGTAGCGAGCATATGTATGCTCACCTGGTTATTATTAATTCTTATGCCAACAATTGTTGTAGATACACGAAGACGACCGAGCCTTTTGACGCGTCAGAAGGAACAACACCGCGGAAAAGACTGAATAGGGATGAATGTGAATCGACACTGAATAAATTGCTCAAGTGGTGTATTGCGAGACTGATGTCCGAACATCAACTCTAGCGTCTATCGAATTCTCACTGGATTGGACCGTGATTTATGGCGTGCTGGCCAGTACTGTCTTCACTGGTACTAGAAGTATAACTTCCTCCACCAGGTCCAGGACGAGACCATGGTTTCCGGGCTCAGCGGCTGACTTGGATGTTCAATCCCCTGTAATTTCCACGAGAGCTCCCGACAGCTCGGTGTGAAGCTGGAGCAGCAGAACGTGCACGCGAGGAAAGCTTGAGAAGCGTTCCAGTCGATGAAGCACGGCAGCCAGTCCACTTCGAAGCAGCGGAAGTTCGAGTAACAGTGGCATGAACTCGAGCGCGTATCCGGCTGAAATCACGATGTGTAGCACAGCAGCTAAGTCCGGCCAGTTTGGATGACACTCTTTAGCTATAGCAGACGAATGCGATGATAGGGAGACGACAGTGGCTACCCACTCCGCACACAATTCCGTGAGCAATACATTGCTGCTTCGAACGTCGAGTCCGTCGGCATCGTCATCATCGGCTGTGTTCTCATTGTTACGCTCGATGATTTCACGCACCCAAGTCGCCACTCCTCGACGCGCTTGATCGTGAAGTAGTATTTGCTCAGACAGTCCAGATCTGGAACGAATCACAATTGTATCGCGACGAAATAGTCGTGCTCCATGCTGCAGCAGAAGTTGGGCAATAGCGTCTCGCTCTTCGTGGTGATCAATCGAGTTCACACGACCCAGTCCAGCAAGATACAAACAAGTGGAGCCCTCGTTGTTCGTTGCGTTGAGTGGATTATTCTCGACGTTTAGCGTTTGTAAGTCCCCGAACATTATTACGAGACGATGGAGTAATGTTTCCAGCTCACGAACTGCACCATAGCGAGCTGCGTAGTGGGCAGGTGAGTCTCCACGCTTCGTGATTGCTGTTACGATACCGTCGGCATGGTCCTGTCTCATCAAAAACTCCATCAGCTGCGAATTTCGCTTCACAATGGCAAAGTGCAGTGGTGTCTCTCCGTCGGAGTTACTGATCATCACTGAAGAATATCCACCCTCGACAATAAGGCGGACAGCCTCTTCGATCTCGTTTTCCACGGCACACAACATCACGCTAGCTGCAAAGTCTCTTCTTTCGGTTGTTGCTACCAGGTGATGTTCATTCAAGATGATTTGGAGCATATTCATACTGCGTTGTTGGATGGCGAGCGTCAATGGTGTGACTCCATCGACGTCTTTGATATCAACTTGAGCGCCACGTGACACCAGCAAGTTGGACACTAAGAGGCTACCTTCACGGATGGAGTGGTGCAGCGGTGTCTTCCCGTTCTTAAAAGCACAAAATTCGAGTTACATTTACGGGTAATTAGTTCAAGGTCCCGGTTACAGAGTTTTCAGCCGATTTTTACCTGGTCTTGTGCGTCGATGTCAGCTCCATTATCAAGTAAATAAATCGCGACGTCGAGAGCGTCGCCATTCCCGGTGTAATGCAGTGCACTGTATCCCTCCTGCAACCAAAATCACAATCCAAGATAAATGCGGATCAAATAAAAAATAAGACAAACGTATCGTGGCAAAAAGTTACCACTCCTCGCGTACCTGATTCCGTGCATTAACGTCGGCGCCGAAACGCAGCAGCAGCTCGACAACGGCAAGAATGTGTTGCAACAATTGATTTTCTTCTTCCCGGCACTACGACATGAAAAATGCGTGCAAATCGTCAAGACCCCTCCAATTAGGGACCAACCAACTATAACTACGTACGTCGACAACCAAGTTCCGACGGATAGCCTCCCCATTGCGAAATATGCAGCGCATTACCACGACGTTAAAGCGCAAGATGGCCACCATCATGGCCGTGAGGCCTCCGTTGTCACTGGTATCGGGATCCTGTCCGGCGCTTAAAAGCAGTTCAATTATGTCGACGCAGCCATCCCATGCAGCTGTGAGGAGCGCCGATGCCCCGATGGTGTGCAAGTGGAAATAGTCCCAGCTGCAGAATCGCGGCGTGGAGATCGTCGTATCTGATGCGACAGGCTTCAAGTCCGACATCACGATACACCGAAACGGTTAGAAATGATACTCTAGTGATTCAAGGTTTCAAGTATCAAATATCAAATAATTTAATGGGCCAGATCTGATTCCAGTGAACAAGTAAACAAGTGGGCCACTGACCATTTTGAGGTCGAGCCATTGAGGATGTTGTGCCCGCAGGCGCGCCATGGCTTGAGCGTCTCCTCTGGCACCAGCTGCGAGCCATGCCCCGTGCACCTGCTCCATGGATAAATGTTCGTTCGGACGCAGGTTAGTCTGTGTCGGTGCGTCTGCCATGGCAATTTCGACAATGGAGTGGGTAGTCCCCAATTGTGCCTTCATACCCACTCCAGGTACGGTCAGCCGTTCTAAATTTTCAGCAATTTCCAGCATCATTCCGGCTCCAAGTGACTTCTGACTCGCAGGAATCGAGTGAAGTGTTTTGGGCTGATCAATGAGATTAGTAGACATGAAAACTAGCCAGAGACCAAAAAATGCATATTTGCGTTGATTCTTTTTTTGCAAATTTTGCCTTTATTTTGGGAATTGGTTTGGTTAGCGTCCGTGTTTACAAACTGTAAAATCAGACTGGGACAGGTCTAGGGTGGCTTCGGAACTACGTTGTTGCTCCACGAGCCCAGGAATCCGGCTGATGCGATGGGTTGGAGAAAGCACGAATACATGTAAACAAAACGTTTGCCTAGACTCAAGGCACACCCTTCAGCTAAAGATGGTGGAGAGGAGGGGCGGCATGGCTCCTATTGTCAGCACGTGTAAAACGATGAGTGTGCCGTAAGATACATATGCTTCATAACCGTTAGATCGTGTAGTTTAAGTACCATCATGGTGTGATGAAGCTACAGACACGTCGTTCAGCTGAAAGGGATGACCGCATTCTTATCGTCGAATCTTCTTGTGAAGACAGCTGACGCAAACACTAGTCGGTGGTACGATTCGGTTGGTTCGCAATGTCTAAGAAACGATATTCATTGACTTCACGCGATGTATCGGTGGTTGATGGCGAAGATAGCGAGCAATGAGTTTAGTACGTGTTCCTGTAGTTGCTGTAATCGGGGGAAGGACCACCAAGCCTTCCATTCTAATGGACCGCTGAAACTCTCACCGATGCACCTTATCACAACTACAGACGAGTTGAACAAAATACCAAAATGCGTATTAACGTTAGGAAGCACTTTAGTGCTGCAAGGGACAGCCCAACAAGGATTAATTCGGTGGGATGGTCCCTACCGGTATACCAGTTCGGCAAATGCGCTAACCTGGCTCCCAAAAGGTTTAATGTGGTGGGATGGTCCTTACAAGTACGTACGTATACCAGTTCAGTAAATGCGTTAACCTGGGCGCGGCCACGATTCCAATTTTTAGTAAATTGAAATCTACACGTTTCCGCGGCTCCGAACACTAAAAAATTCGCTCGATTTGTGATCATGGCTCCGAACACAAAAATCTTAAGCATTTTCACACAAAAAAATGTTTTGTAGACAATATTGAGCATCATATTTTCAGTCAGCGACATGGTCCTATGGTGTTTACAACACCATATCTACAGTAGGACAGCTACTACCAAGCACGAATGCCACATCCTCCAAGTTGCCCAGTATCTTCAGCAGCGGCATCAGCATTTCTGCGTTGAAGTGTCTTCCGGTTACAGATGCCATTCGTGTCGTCGACTCATCCCAGTCAAAACGCACCTCACTCAGCAGCACGACCTGTTGTCCCAAAAGTTTCTCGGCCAAAGGAAGAGGTTTCCCTTCTTCATCGATTAAATGTGGAAACTCTTGCTGAATCATCGAAAGGGTGATGGTAAAACAACATTTGGTTGTAGCGATGAACAACCCCTCTGGACCATTCTCCAATCTCTCAAGACGGACATCCAAGCCGTCATGACGCAATGAAATCGATCTCCAAATTTCCAGCAATTCTGGAATGCCCGAGCCGCTCTTGACCATGACATTGGGGGACATTGTTGCTTGCAGAAATAAGAGCTGCTTACTCGATGGAGATGGCTCTGGCACTTCAGATGCTGTCGAGGAAGCGTTGAAGCCGTGACGGAAAAGAGAAAAATACTCGGCGACGACGTTCCAGGGGGTCGCTGTCGACAATGAGTCGGTACTCAAGCTCCTGTACTGCTGATCGAGACGCCTCACTTCATCCTTCAATTGCTCAACGCTCTTCTCAAAGGCAACGGACCGCGCATGCAGCTTGGCTCGGTATCGACGTTGAATATCTCGTCGACTCTGTCGATGGAGTAGGAGGCGTCGATACTCGTCAGGAACAGTACGGTCTCGGTCGTGATTGACAGATCTCTTCTGCGTCCTCGACACTGTGACCATTTCGCTCCCCGCTATCGCGATGAACGCAGTGGCATTGGTCCGTTGGTCATGAATATCGTGGACACTGAACGCCTTAAAAACTTGCTTGGCACGTTGTCTGACACTGCCAATGACAGTGTCACTCAGGTCTTGGACGTTTGGCGGATAAAAGGAGTAACTTGTCATTATGAACGGGACTCTGCTGATTGTAAAATGAATAGAAGGATACTTCTCTTCGATCGGTTTGAGTATTGATGAGTCACGTTGGGGGTATCACGTGACTAAGCTCATAGAGTAATGACTTTGTCGCGCCAAGGTTTAGTTACGATGAGGCCATATGTCTATGAGATACTTGAGGCTCGCATAGAGTACTCCACACATAATTACTATTAGTGCAACTTCATTCATTAAGAAAGAACTTGTGTCGTTTTTAACGTCTGCGCTTTCTAATTGAAGAATATGAGTCTCGACGCGTTTGCAACACAGGAGCTCCATCGAGTGTGGCACCTTTCAGACTTCTCTACAATTATTAAAAGTTAAAGATATTAGTATTAGCAGCTTCGTGTAGATCTGCAAAGATCAACATTGGTAAGGAGACTGTCTTGCGTCACCTGATAGTAGCAGCGCATCTTGTTGCTGAGGGTGTGGAACATCCGTTTCTGTGCCAACCCTGCTCCTTCGACATAGTATTTGGCATCTCGAGCATGTTGTGACGTATTCTACGTCAAGGCTCGTGCCTCTAGCGTATTTTGCGCATGAGGAGGCACGCAGCCTAAACGATGATTGGCTTACCGGCACGATTCCTGCAAGGTGATTGGTGGAAGGAGTGACGTTCTACTTTTTGATTGGCTAAAATGATTTTACTTCAACTTGTAGGATTTATTAGTCTGTAGAAAGGACAGTTAACTTTAATTCACTTTCCAATTTGCCTTCATGTTGCTACGCTTCCTCA